AGTTTTGATGCAAAAACGCATGATCGCACCGGCTCGCCTGGTGCGTTCCAGCCTTTGTTTTTTCGGGGAGATGCGTTTTCGTTTTTGTGCATTTAAAATGAGCGAATTACAGCAAGCACTGATGATAACAGCTAACGTTCCATCGGCGAAGAAGATAATTGTTCATGGGCCAGATTATGGCTCGGGTGGGATACCGTCTCAGTTTCCAGTTCATGAGGATACGCAGTTTCAACAGATACTCACCGACAGTCTCGAATTTTTTAATATACCGGAAAATGAAGTCGAGTACTATTTTTTGGTCGATACGAAAACGAATCTCGTCCACAATCCTTCTTCTTACGTGAGGCAAGTTGATGTGTTTTAGTGTTCTAGTTTGCTGGAGCTCTACTCCGTGCCCCCACTTTCGGATCAGGATGTGCGAAAACTTCCCGATGCTTCTTAAATCACTGGCGACGCCACCAGATAGGCCGAATCATGCGTTTTTGCACCAGAATAGCTGGGAGGCTGAATTTTTAAAGAGATGTTCACAGCTCAACTGCAACTTAAATTTATCGAATTCAACCTCTAGGCATGCGTGGTTATCGAATTCATCCTCTAGCCCCATGAAATTTTTTGGCGAGAAAATGGCTAATTCCGAACCCAGGGAAGCTGGGCAGCTGAAATTTTCAGAGAATGTTACCAGCTCATGTACAACCTAAATCTACCAAATTCAGCCTCCGAGCTATTCTGTTTCCTAAGTTAGCGATTTTCGCGTCAAGGACTATCACGGGGCCGTACATGGGAACCACGCATAGTAATACGTCGGCTCTCTCGAATCGAGTACCACATTCAAATTTGGGTTATTAAACCTTGTTTTAAGTCGGTTAACGTGTTTTAGCGAAACTGTAGCTAACAACAATGCGAGTTGGGTCTGTAAGGCACACACATTAGAGCAAGACATAGCTTATATTCAAAGCAAAGCCAAGGCAAAACATAGCCCATTTTCAAAACAAAGCCAAGGCAAAACATTGCCCATTTTTCATTTTACTGCTCTGCAAGCAATACATGATGGCTTTACTAACGGCGCCTAGTGAAGGAAGTGATAGTTGAAAGAAATGAAATGGGCGGAAGCGGCAGATTAAGCTTGGATGTGGCTAGCACGCTGTTAGTTGTTGATCGGGAAAAGGATGGATATGAATCGCCTCCTAGACATGAATGCCGTCGTTTTTATGACGTTGCAAACGTTGCAATTTCATTGCGCTTGGTCATTAAAAAAACAAAGGAACAGCAACTTAATCATGGGCTGCTGAGAGCTGTGCATTCACCATTGAGCACCGCATATAGCTCCTACATGAGAGCGGTCTTCTGACAATACTGACCTGTTGTCAACGGACCCTAAAAGAAACTCACAAAATTTACTGCTGACCCAAAACAACATCTTGAGACCTCCGATCTCAACAGAGGGGAACATGTAGCCAGCTTTCAGGCCGCACCATTTTCAAAGCCGTATCTCAGGTCCAAATTTAGGCGGAAATATAATTTAAAACCCAGAAATGAAGGTTGGTGATTTTTTGTTCATGATTAAATTACATATTATCGTTCACCGTACAGGCCAAGAAACTATCGTGTCAGATCGAAATGAACTGCTTATTTGTCAGACTTGCTCGCCATGAGTCTATACTAGCTTAGCACAAGAACACGTAAAAACATCGATCTTGTGATAGCGTGTCACTAATTATCTATTGCGCTTCTTTTCGGTCCCGTTACCCTAAATCATTCGTTATAAGTTTTTACACATTTGTGCAGATGCAAAAATGCGTACTGGCAGAAGTTGTTCACATTTTCCTCACCCGCTTTCAATTCAGCAGTCACTGAAGCTAGAAAATTGAAATTTTGGGTGAATGTTTTACCTCATGTGCAATGCCTCATTTTTATGCGTTTTTGCATATATGCAAATTGCAAAAACGCATATTGGGAAGAGGCTGTC